CACCCAAACCCCTCTGTGATTCTATCTCCTGCTTATGGGAGACATCACTGGGCTGAGCCTGGTGATGGAGTCGAGGGTGGCATAGCCAGCAGCACCCGAGTCGTGTCCTAAGTAGGTGGACAGCGCCCCAGAACAGCTAAATTCAAGCTCTTTCTGTATTTGGTTTCTGTGACCCTGACTAAGCATTGTTAGACCTGTCTGAGAGGAGCGGACAGCACACTTGGGTGCTGCTGGCAGGAAGCTCGCAGCCCCGCTCAGGCTGCGGGTGCCTTTTTCCCATGGGCTGTGACTCGTCCGACAGAAACCTCTGAGTTTCAGGAGACAGACATGCTTGAATCACCCTGGGGACTTCCATGAGGATATTTCCAGCCTCGGCCGGTGGTGACCGCCGCATACTTTGTTTTAGGTGTCCTCGTTTGTGGAAAGCTGCAAATGAAAGGTATTGAAGTTTCGGCACTCCCATCCTCCGCGGGAGCCGAGGGTGACTCTTACCTTCCACGAGAGATGTCAGCAGGGTGACGTTGGCAGCTTTGCGCCTTCCTGCCGGGAGATTTAGGCCGATTTTCTCTAACCTTTCCCTTAAACACCGACCCCCGTTTTTTGATTTTGCTCTGAAAAGAGAAAAGAAGGAGGAGGAAAAAAGCTTATAATGCAGTTAATGTTGAGATAGCGATAACTAAGTCCAGTTTAAGCTTTTAGGTTTGAAAGGAAAGAAGAAAAAGCAACAAAAATGCTGCTCCCCAATATACCACAACCAGAATTCCTCAGCTCTGTTAGCCTGAGGGGGAAGAGATGGTGCCAAGCACAAAGCTCGCTTCGGCGTTACCCCCGGCATTCCAGCGCGCAGCGCGGCCCTGCGTCCTTGGGCTGTCCCAGGGCTCTCAGGAGCAGCTTACCTGCGGAGGACTCCTCCGAGGAGAGAGGCGTTGAGACACTCGGGGGGCGAGAGCCTTCTCTGCACCTCCCCGACGGTCACCTTGTACTTGGAGGTGGAGCTGAGAAGGGAGAGGCGGCCAGGCACGGAGCAGAAGACCTCGTTGGGATTCGTCACCCCTCCGATCAGGCCATCTTTGTTCATTGAGAGGGTGGAAATGGTGGTGCCGTTGGCCTTCGAGGGGATGGGCACTGGGAGACAACGGGGGAGAGAGAAGAGGAGACCGTGGCTGAGAGACTCCAGAGCCAGGGAAGCTGGTCCGTGAGTCTCCTGGAAGCTCTCCCCAGCATCCCTGCCCTGCCATCCGCAGCCATCGGCATGGCTGGCTGGGATGTCTCAGTTAGGGTCGTATTCTTCCCAACAGGAGAGAGGTGGGGTGGTGAAACTAAACTCAGTAAAGGAAAAAAGAAGGAAGAAGCCTGGCCTCTGCTCTTGCCTGCTTTCCCACGCCTCCCCGCTCCACTGCAATTAAACCCAAGGTTCTGGGCTGGTCTCCTGGACCGGGACGGACTGTCCGCAGCATCGCTGCCTGGACCTGTGTCCAGCTTCCCCTCCCTGTCTGCGGGGGGCACTCGGTGGGGGGTGGCGGGGGAAGCTCTGGCTCGGCGCGCTGACCTGGGTGCCGTTCCTCGCCCGGCTGCAGGATGGGACTGCAGCTCAGCCCAGCTCCGTCCCACCGGGCAGGATCAACCAGGCTGAGCCACGACATTCCTGCCCTGCATGAAACTTGGGAGATGCCAGGGTGGCCGAGAGCTGTGTTTTCCACAGGAACCAGTGGAAAGGCTTCCTTTGCCTTCAGCTTTGGGATTAGCCCCACAGCAAGCCGCGGCCCTAAACTTCCATCATCCCTGGCTTAAAGAAAGCTCGAGAAGATCAAACCAAATTAATCCAGCACAGATTCCTTTCACTTAGTGGGCAAAGGCCAGGTGACACAGGAGGTTGGACAGGGCACGGTGACTGCAGCATCACATCGGGCCCATGGCATCACTCCCGGGGTGAAATGGGCACGGTTTTCCCATACGTCATTCCAGTAAGAGACGTTCTTAGACGCAATAAAGGTTTATAGGTTAAAACTGTGGCTGAAACCTGTGCCAAACCTCTTTGGCTTTTATGTTCTGAGATTAATAACCAATTTAAGTCTGGAAAAAACCAGCAGGTTTTGAAAGAATCCAAAGAGGTGTGCAAACGCCATCGCTGCAGATCATTTCAGCCCTGGCATTCTCTGTGGTTCCTCGGTAACGACTGTTCCACGTTCCTGCGAGTAGTGCAGCAGCGAATACCAGGGCAAGATGCAGATTTTATAGAGGCAATACACATGCCCAAAATGAAACAGAAAACCCAAAAATTAATTGGGGTGGGTACGTAGGCTGGACCTATTATGGGGCACTTATGATCAGCATACTGTAAATGCAGCTCAACAACTTGTTAGCCTGGCAATAAAACAGTAGCACGTTACATAAAAATAGCTAATGTTTTAGGGCTAAATCATAGAAACACAGAATAGTTTGGGTTGGGAGGGACCTTAAAGCCCACCCAGTCCCACCCCCTGCCATGGGCAGGGACACCTTCCATAGCCCAGGTTGCTCCAAGCCTCATCCAGCCTGGCCTTGGACACTCCCAGGGATGGGGCATCCCTGCATCTCCCCCCACCCTCTGCGGGAAGAATTCCTTCCTGATGTCCCATCTCCATCTCCCTCTTTCTGTTTAGATCCGTTACCCCTTGTCCTGTACTCCTTACCCTTGGGAAGAGGGTCTAAAGGATGAATGGAAGGGAGTTAAAGTACATTGTTTCCTTTCAGCATGAAACTGGGACAAAGTCAGGGGCCGGAAGGGCAAGATGCACTGGTGGAGTCAGCCACTGCGGTGTCGGCATTTGCCACGACTGAGTGAGGGATGTTCAGGGAAGAACAAATACGGGAACATCACCATGCGACTAGGAAACCAGAGCTATTTCCAGGAAGCAGCAACTTCAAAGCTTTCATCCACAGTCCCAGAACAGGTTATATTTGTCTCTAGGGGACACCCTTAAAATAAAAACCCAAAGCATGTTTTAGAAATCTCCATGCGTTACTACCAAGGCTGTGCCACTTCAGGTCTGGGTACCCAGCGGAGGGGGGTGCTGCCGCAGCAAGGACCCCCCCAGACCAGACACCCCTGTGGAGCTGGTGTTGTTTGTAGTGTCAAACACTCTGTCTGAGCGCGAAGAGCTCCGCATAACTCACACACGCGTGTTCGTGCATGCCTGCAGTCATGCGGTGGCGTGCATTCGCATGCGTGGCTGGGACCTGCGTACACACGAGAGACTGAACAGCCATGCAGGAGCGGGGGGGTCGTGCCGCCACGCGTGTCCATGAAACGTGGCATCTGGGGAGGAGGCAAACCCAGCCGGCAGCAGTGCGAGTTAACACCGGAGCCTGTGGAAAACCGGGCTGGAGGTGGGGCTGGTCCAGCTCCGGTGTGTTTGGGAGTCGCCCCATGCACACCGGCAGCGGGGACGGGCAGGATGGTGGGGAGACAGGGATGGATGCCGATGCGCGACGGGGTGATGACACGGAGACACCACGACACTTTTGGAACACATACCGGCATTTTTAGGAATGATCCTACTGTCAGAAACAAATCCCCTGGCGAGCTGTAACCCAGAGCGTAGGCTCTGCAAAGGTCAACGCCCAGGGCAGTCAGGTCAGCCCTGCTCCGTGCCGCAAGCAAACCATGCAGGCACCGGGCACCCGTCGCTGAACGTGACCATCGGCATCGCTCTTCTGCCTCAGCCGAGGCCAGACCCCGGCATGTTCGGCACATGCAGGGATGGGACAGGGCCACCCGTGTCGCGGGGAGCTCGCACCCTGGGCAGCGGGCACCCAGGGGGAGAAACAGGACGGGTGGGTGGCCCAGCATCACGCAGAGGTTAGCGGCAGCGCTGGAAACTGGTCTCTTGAGTCCTGTAACAGTGCTTCATCCATTAGACAGCGTTGCCTCAATACAGCAAGAATAAACATAGCCACATTCGCCATTAATTATTAATTATTGTTATTTGGCCTCACCTGCTGCTGTTTGCCTGGTCTGATCTGCAGCTTGTTTGCCCATAAACATGCTGCAGGAGGGAGACAAGCTACCATTAAAGCCTGACAGCTTTGTTTCCTTGGCTTTTGGGGAACCAAAATTGTCTCTTGTCATCTGAGTAAACCAAAAGTCCCCCTCGATCTTCAGCTGCTGCTTTCCTGTTCCCGCAAGCAGCAGGTGATCGGAGCACCTGAGCCAGCCTGCAGACAAGAAGGAAGCATGAGACCGGCGCGGGTGGGCACGGCGTGCAGCCCC